CGGGGGCCGCTCTGTGCCCCCAGGCACCCCGCCCCCGTCCCCGCCCCAGAGCCTGGCCCCTCCCCCAAGGACGCCTGGCGACCCGGCCGACCTTCGGACTCCGGGCCAGTTCCCCCGCTCGGTCCCCGCACGCACCTGCCCCTGTGGGCTTCCGGGGGAGGTCACGGGCACCCACGTTTCCCAGCACGGAGTGTGCCCGAGCCGAGACTGCGCCACGTGGGCGGTGCCTTCCCGGCTCGGGCCGGTTTCCGTGGGCCGGAGCCCTGCACTGTGAAGACCCTCGTCTTCTGCGATGTCGGGCCCTGTCCTGCAGGCTCCCACAGCAGCCCAGCGTGCCCAGCTCCAGTGCCAGCCTGCCCCCGCGACCCTTCCTCCAGTTGCCTTTCTTCTTCGGGGCGAAGGAGTCCTCCGGCTGGGAGTAGTCGCCTGCCCGAGTCTCCTAGGGGGTCCCGCCCAGGTCCCTGGCTGGCTCTGGGCAGCCTGCTTTTTGCCCAACACAGGTCCCTTCTACTGTGTCTGCCCACAGCCTCACGCGTCCTAGGTCCCCCTTCCCTGCCATGTAGTCCATCAGCCAAAGCTGTCCACAAGGCAGGTCTGTCCTTCACCTGCAGTCACTTCTTCCTGCTTATTCTGGCTTCCCTGGCAGGGGCCCTCAGTCCCGTGACCTGGTCCCTGTGCCTGGCCCTTCTTCTGCACCCTAAAATGTGTCTGGATCCCAGGCCACGTTCAGCTCAAGGCCCCAGATGTCTCTGCACCAGGATGCTTTGGAGTACTGATTACTTCGTGGTAACTGCCTGGCCCCTCCCTTGGGACTGAGCTCCAGGGGGCAGCTCAACCCCCCTGGAGCGGCAGATCTCAACCCCCCTGCAAGAGGCCTGGTACACAGCGGGCGCTCAATAAATGCTTACTGTGTGAGCGATGGAAGTCAGAGATGGTCCAATCCCAGGGGCTCGCTGCTCCTGCAGCCTCAAAGGCTATACAGACGGTGTCTTGGCCCCACGGGGGACGGGG